CGTCCAGTGAATACCTCCTATTGGGCAGGACATCGAACTAAAGGGGGCACGTTATCGAGCTTGTTGTCCCTAGAGCCACTAAATGAGCTGCGCTTAGAGTATCGGCACTCTGTTCCGCGACACTGTTGTGAGCGACGCCATTTTGTGGCTTGTGCAGAGCAGACGCAACTGCCGATCGTCATGACTCAAAAGTGCGACTTCCTCAACATTAGATTCGGTGTCAGAAAGTTCACGCAATATTGCTTTTGCTCTGTCACGAACTGTTTAAACATTTGTGGAGGCCGAAAAGCGTTTCCTAACAGAGAAATTGAACCTCACCTAGCACAATCTGGGCACGTGCGCGTCGCTTTGACCAGTGCTTTGGTCGCACGAGGAGCGGCCTTTGAATCCTCACTTTCGATTTCTCGGACCAAAAACCAACAAGAAAATGCAGATTGCTGTCCTCACAGCTGAAGCGTACCGCTAGAGGCGTGAGTGTTCGATCTCCTCCTTAGTAGACCAGTGTCCGAAATCCTAGCCCCAGCAATAAAAATGGGAAATGATAATCGCACACGCAGGCTCTTGTGAAGAGAGGGGCCGCGCATAGAACACGATTTTTGCTTTTTACAGCACTCTTGGCGTCGGTGTTGTTCTTGACACTTTGTGACTATGCATTTCTGACGTTCTTGGACTACGATATGTGCGAAGGTGTCTAAAAGACGGAGTCTCGCAAAAAACGCAGCCCCCTACTGTGACATGGCACATAGAGTTATTACAATAAACGCTAGGGGTTCAGGTGGCGCTAATTTGTACGTACTAGGCACATTGGAACATTTCTCAGTCATGCTGACGAAATAATTGGTCAGTTAGAGCAATTTTATTTGAAATTTGTGGCATGAAAAACGGTGCTAAAACCGCTTCGTACGTGTAGTTATGTGCGCTGTCGGACACTGTTAGCGCGAATACAGCGTCGGCGCTTTCCAGCATGAAGGATATACGTGCCAAACGAACGAAGGACATGTGGAAAACCAAGAGAGACGACAAGAACTACGCAGTAACACTGAATAAGTAACTCCTTGTGCATGCAGACGATCAAAATAAATTGAAAGCCACGTAATATAGTCAGATTTGCAATAAATGAGTACTGCTTTATTCTTTCTGCTCATGAATATGCGCGAAGATGCTTGTTCTGGGTTCAAATCATCACCCGCACACTCCAAATCTTTGCAAATAGGGAGAAGCCAGAGAGCAGGTGCCCGATAAAAACTGCCCGACATAGGTAATAATAAAAAGACACACCTTTCGTAGCTCACGTGCTTTATTTTTGGCTTTCGAATGTTTTTTTAACCGATCGTAAAAATGCACGACAGACTCATTCTCATCCAATGACAGGACGGGAATATTAGCAATATATTGTTAACGCTCAAATAAGACCATCTAAACAGCTTTATTACGTGGCTAAATTGTACTCATCCTGTTTAAGGCAGCCCGATATTGTCTGGAAGCAACTGCATTCTCTTCTGCGTAGCCAATCTAAAGATAAAGCTATTGTTAACATGACAATAAACAATGAAATTATTTCCGGTAGTGAACTTGCAGATAAATTCAATGATTACTTTGTGAGTGTCGGGAATAGCACTTATGATAGTAATGCCAAAAATAACATCTCCCGCACTAGCGAAACAATGTTCCTGAATCCCACGGATACTGCAGAAGTATTCTCGGTGTTTATGAATATGAAAAATAGCCGTAGTCGTGACTCTGTTGACCTCTTAATCAAACCCTTTAAATTTGTACTAGATTTGATATTACCATGCGTAACTTATCTGTATAATCTCATATTATCATCTAGTGTATTTCCTAAGAGCATGCAAGTGGCTAAAGTTTCTGTCCTCTATAAAGGCGGGGATAAAAATGACACGAGTAATTATCGCCCCATTTCTATTCTTCCTGTATTTTCGAAACCAATAGAAAAGATAATATATTCTCGACCTTTTTTTGAAAAATATTCTGTGTTGACGGACATCGCAATTCGGCTTCAGAGGGTGTAGGTCTGCAGAAACTGCTTTATTAGTACAAAAAGAGACAATATTAGAAAATTTCGAGAGTAAACTTTTAACGTAGGGGATCTTTGTAGATTTCAGTAAAGTATTTGACCGGATAAATCACAGAACTCTTCTTGATAAATTAGATTGTTATAGTATTCGAGGAGTTACCATTAGCACTCATTTCATCCTATTTACAGTACCGTTCCCAAAACGTTCAAATTAATATTAACAGATCTTCTATGCAGCGCATTAGTTCCGGGGTCCCTCAGGGAAGTATTTTAGGCCCACTATTGTTTATCACTTATTTTAATGATATTGTAAATATTGAAACGTCTGCTAAATTTATTATATACGCGGATGACACTAGCATATTTTTTTCTGATTCTAGAGAAGGGGTGCTCACTCTCACAGCGAATTACTTTTTTAAATAAATCAAAATCTTGGGTAGTTATGAATTCCCTTGTTACTAACACATCAAAAACAACGGCAGTTTTATTTCAGTGCCCAGGACCACGCATTAGGTTGTCACACGATTTGTTTTTGGGGGATTGTTCGATAGAGTGCGTTGATAGTATAAAAACGGTGGGGGTAATATTTTCTTGTCACATGTCCTGGAATAATCATGTTACCTATATTCATAAAAAAACTATGCAAAGTTGTCGGAATAATGAATAAATTCAGGAACATACTTCCGGTAAATATTAAAAAACTAATTTACAATGCGTTGTTTTGCCCTGTGCTCTGCTACTCCCACCTGGTATGGGGTTGGACTACAAAGGGCAACATTGACAAATTACGTCTATTACAGAAAAAGGCACTCAGGATAATCGAAAATCTTCCACGTGACTATCATTCCCTTCCTCTTTTTGAAAAACACAAAGTCCTCGATATAACCAATTTGTATGCACATAGACTGATAGGTAATTATCAACGATCCGTAGGGGAAAATAATGTTATTTCTTTAGATCTTGGAAATCTAGAAGCAAACCAGCCTGTATACCCATCGCGACGTAGACCCCCCTGGCGTATTCCCTTTTCAAAGACAAATTTTGGTTTACAAAGATATCGCCACCAATTACCACTTTTATTAAACACCCTGTTTTCCCGTGATATTGAAATGCACTCTGTTAGTCATTGTTCCATTCAAGAAGCTTTATAATAAGTAACCACCACTTTTTTGTATACTGTTGATTGCGAAGTTGAATTATGTTTTTCTTGTGTTTATCCTCTGTATAGGTTATGCAAATGTATGTGTCCGCATATTCGTTCTTTTTTGTCTGTATGTGCCAGTGCCGCTCTTACCTTGTTCTGGGGCGCTGGGACTCGTCAAGCTGCAGGCCTGTAGCTTTTTTTCCAGCTCCCCTGTCACAAATGTAATGTTTGTGGCAAAATAAACGAATATGAATTTGAATATAAGCACCACCGAAATGCTGGCGAGCCTTGAACACACTCTACATTCCTTTCGATCGTCAGTTTGCTTAAAATCGTCACTCGTTTTTACATACCTTCATTGCAACAGAGGCTTGGGCCTGAAATAGAGCAAAGTTTAACATCGTTCAGTGGTAAAGAAAAATGATGTAACTAAACCATTTACACTTTGGCAATACAAATAAAGGTACATACTATCCGGTACAACCGAAATAACAAAAGTTATTCATTTTATTTTCCTGCGAAGAGACAAAATTCACGCGCGTTTTCCCATAGGAATACACAGGGAGGCTGGAAATGTAGACTGCATGCTGTCTGCTTCAATTTGAAACCGGAAGTCCCATACACACTAGCGCCAGCTGAGCCTCTAGCGTTTATTGTAATAACTCTATGACATGGCGTCCAACGTTACTGGAGCAAGCTCCAGTAACGTTGGAGCTTGCTCCGGTAACGTTGATGGCGTCAGCATAAACAAACATGGCGGCGCCCATGGAACAGAGCAGACACTCTTCTATGTGGAGAGCAAGTCGTCTGCTTCTCGCGGAGAGGCAACGTTACGAGATTACCCCAGTTGTGAAACTTCCGCAGAAAAGGGTGCCCCCCTCCCCCCCCCCCCCCCCCCCCCCCCCCCCCCCCACACTCTCTTCAGTCCGCCTCCCACAGGCCTCCCGTCGTTTGAAGCGCCATCTAGATTTTCGTGTCAAAAATGTGTTTTCTATAGAGTACGGTGGAACGCCATCTAGACGCTATGCTTCAAAACGTACGTATTCCAGAATACACTGCAGTTATCGTGGTGAGTAAAGGGAGAGAAGGGGGGGGGGGAGGGTTACTGCTCGTGCAAGCAGCGACTACGAGCAGTTCCGTAACTGCCGTAATTGAGGTAATCTGATGTGGTGCGTAAGTTGGTCTGCTTCTGTTGCAGTGGTTGTGGTGACGTCAGAATGTCGAGTTCGGATTCGCTCAAGGCATACCAGATACGAAACCCACGTGACTGAGAACGACAGGAAACAGAAAACGCAGAGCCAATCAGAGCTCTGCGTTCTGACGTCACCGCAACCCCTGCACAAAGAAGCAGACGAACTTACGCTCCGGATAACGTTGCGCAGGTGTTGGACGTCAGAACGACGCCGAGTTCTGATTGGCTTTGATTGGAAGGATAGTGTGCAGACCTCAATGCTAGATGCCTTGAGGTCTACCCACTATTTTTTCCAATCAGCCAATGAGAGCTTGGCGTTCTGATATAATTGCAAATCCCCTGTGGAAGAAGCAGGCGAACTTGCGCCCCGCATTGAATGAACCCAAAGCGCACGAGCCGTAGAGCGCGATGTCGAACGCGCGAGCCCAAATCACGCGATGACTCGCCATCTGAGGCAGCAACCGAACAACGAGCTGACATGCTCCCATGCTGTTCCCGTCGGTTCCTGATTTCAGCTGTTCCGAGCCTTCCAGCGAATTCTTCTGGCCGGTCGACCGTCGGGACGCCCTCGAAGAGCGTTACTTCCGCTCTTCCTCGGCTTTGCTCCGACGTCGGGGTTTCGAACCGCGTCTCGCTTCCCGGAACAGCGACACCGGACGCCACGCGGCATCGGAACCATAATGGCGAAGACCGAAGAAGAAATCAATGACTCATCCAAGCTAATCGCCGAGTGAGTGATTCGCTTACCTTATTGAACCCGTGTGTTGATCTACGCGCTCATGTTTACCGTTTTCCAGATTCGTTGTCTTTATACAGGGTGTTTCAACGCGACAGTTAAGGAGCTCGTACCGCAGAAAATCGGTGGCGTGGCAGAAAAGCCGGCGTCGGTGGCGTGCCGGGAAAATCCTGACTGGTCGATAGGCTCATGACGTCACAACCATATGACCTCGCGCGGGGATTTCAACCCACAACGTTCACGTGCAACTTGACGTCACGCGTGGAATGAAAGTTATTAAAAGACAGGATATGTAATGCGAATTGAAGGTCGCCGCATGTCTCAAATGATTTTACTCAATAGAGTAATTGATTTGCCTTAAAGTAAAATTTGAAGAACTTTAGGCGGGATTCGAGTCAGACACGCTACTGACCCCACGCAAGGCACGCTTGCACGGTTTGGGAGCGAGCGGGAGTTTATATGTTCAGATGTTTCGCTATCGCTTTTTTTTATGCTTAACAGTTTGGCTTAGAAATAAAAGCCCTGAAAGCTATACTTATGCGGTTTGTGCAGGTGAGTTATACGGCCAAAGGGGCGTAGTATATAGGGGGCTAATGATAACGATCAGTCAGCTAATGAAGTAAAAATCGTTAATTAACTTTTTAATTCGTGAAAATAGACATATGGTTCCAATTGGAAACTTGCTGAGCGTCATCGAACACCCCTAAATCAGTACTTTTCAGAAAGACTGTGCGCGAGCGTGTTATCGCACTGGTAGCATCGCTCCATCCATCTGCTAAAGAGCCTGTATTGCAGAGAGTTTCCAACTGCTCGATCGGAGGTCCCGTGGTTTATGGGCCTCATTTGCAACACGAGCTGCAAGGAGGTTACGAAAGCTTTAATCGTCTGCAAACGCCTCCGCCTTTCCTCCTGCTTTTCTCGTCGCCACGCGAAAATGCAGCGAGTGCGCACTTGCAACCTATCGCCGCAGGAGGTGTTCGCCATTAAATTGCAAACGCTCGCCATGGTTTGAGAAGGGCAATCTCTTCAATCTAGGCCCTCCGTGTTCTGCTCGTGGTTCAGTGCGAGCTGCGTTCCCGTGGAAGGGAAAGAAAAAAGGTGACAGGAGGACAAGGTCTCAAACTCAAGTAAAAGTGTTAAATAATGGACGAAAGGAAACCATTCATAAACAATTTACGACTGCGTGGGGCGCGTATATACGTTCCCATTACCACCCTAAGCATTTCTAGCACGCCTTTAATCATCTTGATGGATGGATGTTTGAGGCTGAACCCTTTGAATCGGGCGGCAACTTGCGCCACAACCAGTGTTTTTTTTTAAACATTTATTTACCATAGGGGTATATATAGGTAGATTTATTCTTAAAAGCTATATACAAATCCGTACGAAGGAGGCGCCCCTAAGCAACCGGGCGCACACACCTTCAGCCATACAGGTCGCCCGGAAGGGATTAAGAAAATATTCATCCTTCCCTCGAACTATGTCACCAGTCAGATCTTCTTCTCTTGGTTATCTCCACCTTGCCCACGTCTATTTTTCCCTCACTATCCTTAAATACAAGTGCGTTTGATAAATGATTCGCCTCTTCAGCGAAGGTATCATGTGCTCAGCCGTCTCCTCCTCCTCTCCACAAGCTCCACAACGATCTGTAAACTTCCAAGGCCGATTTAGCCTGAGTGCCTGCTTCCAATATTTTCCTCTCCGTTTTTTGTTTTTTTAACTCTCTTCTTAACCTTTATTTTCTTATCCGCTTCCCTGCTATTGCCCACATATTTAGATTTAAGTTTTCAAGTCCCCTTTCTCTATTTTCCATCGACGCTTCTCATGTGTAAATAACTAAAAACTCTTCGTGTCCATCGTTCGGCCTCTATTTCTCTTAGCCCATCCTCGAATTGTATCTTACTGCTGGCTTCCCTGCCCTCGAATGAGGACCATCCCATATCGCCCTGTACAACTTGGTTCGGCGTTTTACCATGTGGGCCAATCTACCTACTCCACGTTGCTTTATTTCTAGCCTTGTCTGGACGTTCAGTTTCATGTACAAAACTGGATTTTCAAAAGACAAGCTCAGAACGATAACTCTTTTCTAGGTCTCCCTCGCGACGTCATATTTGTTGTAGTTCCACAGTGTAACAATGTGTTGAACTGGGCGAGTTGGTAAAAGTTTGACATGGTGGGTGTAACAGCTTCAAAAAACAAGAACGAAGAAAGGAACAGACACGACTGGACAACAGTTGTTGTCCTGTCGGGTCTGTTCCTTTCTTCGTCCTCGTTTTTTGAAGCTGTTACACCCACCATGTCAAGTTTCACAGTGCTCTATTTTTCATTACAACTGCATTTCTTTTGCCCTTACCAGTTACACATTGTTCATTTCATTTAGGTATTTTCTACCCCCATTAATCCATACTCCTAGATACTTGTATTTATCGACTCGATCAACTTCTAATCCTTGTGCCTTAAGCTTTGCAATTCCGTCGTCATTGAGCACCATGACCACTGATTTGACACAACTGAATTCTAAGCCTAACCAGTGGCCCTCTGCGCCACATATACCCATTAGGGACTGAAGCCATGTGTTGCTATCGGCCATTGGCACTACCAGCATCCATCAGATCTGGTAACGACTGTTTCATGCCTTGCCTGTCGTATGACATGTCAAACCCAAGATTTATTTTTTCGAACTTTCCCTCTAATCCTTGGAGATAACCAACTTGAGTCCTGACGCCAGATAGTAAACGGCGCGAGACTATATCGACAGCATCAGGGATCAGGGGACAGCGCTCCTCGTAGCCACGTTCCAGGTGACGTGGTCGTAAGTATAAAGGAGCTCGTGGCTAAGACTTGTAATCTTACTAATGTAAAGTGCACGTTAAAAAAATTAAAAAAAGAAAAATATGGAAGCCTGTTCTTTAAACGCGCTCTGCAGCGGCGGACCCAGCTATGGGTAATAAAATTCTGGCTACGCCACTACTTCCTACTTGCGGGAAGCATGAACTGTAACCCTAATTAAAAATTCGATATTAAACCCGAACTGGAACGAAACCGTAATTTCATGTGGCTGTTACCGGTTCATTGGAAACGGTTTGGCGCAATAAAATGTGAGCCGCGCCTTATTGGGGGTTGCGGCGCCAAGACAATTAAATATTCGCGACGGTGGCGTCAGTGGCTCAGTCTTGATTCAACAAACGGCAGCGACGACATGGAGACAGCTCAAAAATAGTAACACAAAGAGGTATAAAAAAAAAAAAAAAAAGGTCGGGAAAAGGCGTCACAACGACTCTGGTGTCAGTGCGGGGTAATATACCTGGCAAGCTCCCGATTGCACGCGCTGGCCCACACGAGCGACACGCGCTTGGCGGCCCAAGATCCCATAGGATGACGTAACGACTGGTCGAACGTTTTTTTGTTTTCTCGCGTTTAGTTACAGCTTCGTGGAAAACGAACGTGGTATTCGAATGAACGGGATAAAACTACTCTAAAATTCGCCTTAACTCGTTATTTAATTTATTTTTGTTTCAAAAACCTTTTCTCTCCTTTTCTTTTTTTTTTAAGCAGCGCTAACAGTGCCTCGATTGTCATACCGTTCGTTGTCTTCCTTAGTTTTTTGTCACCGGCTTAATCACACACAGTAAATAGCGCAGGATCGCGGCGAAATCAATGTGCGTGATTGGTTTAGTCGTTGCCAATAAACGCTATCACCGACTTTCACGGCCGCCGCTTTTGCACTATTTGAAATATTTCACCACATGGGTTGAGCCCTAAGTAATTACTAATTAGGCATGAAACTTTTCGCAAAATGACGTGCCCAATTTCAGGTATGTATTCGTGTGAAATTCACGTTTTGCGAGGCGTGCCAAATGTGCTGGTTCCGAAGGCCGCACTCCCCGTACTGCCGCTTTTCGGTGAAAATTTTAAGCTACGATTGAGACGTCTCGTTCTCCAAGCTTTTTAGCTTTTTTTTTTATTTTTTACCTCGTATCAAAGTTTAATTAATGGCGGTTTCGAAATTTCTGAAGCCACGGAGAAGCTATGTATCTCAGCAAAACGACAACTGTCATGCTGTGGACACAAGAAAAAAAAAAAGTTTTTTTGTGCATGCACGTGCTCTTGCAGAAAAATACGCCAGCGTCGAAAGATCGCGTACACTGCGTCAGCGATTGCGGCTACCCTGGCGTCGCTGACGGTCCTCGTGGCGTTGGTGTACTACTTGGTGGCACCGACGAACAAGGAACCCGAAGCATCCGACTCGCCGATGGGAACGTTCAGAAACTGGACGGTCGTCACCGACGTGGACGGCTGCAGGCTGGTACCCAGGTATATACGTATAGACCGACACGCTGTTTACAAACAAGCCCGCGTCTGCCCACACCAGGTGCGGGCACTGCGCTTGCGCAGAAACCAGATTCGTGCGAAGGGAAGCGTCTGCGCATGCGTAGTGCCGACAGCAGCGCCACCGCAGTAGCGTGACGTCAGAGGGCAGAGTTGGTGCATACCAGACTTTTATACGTAATGCGTATAGAAGTCGTAATGCGTATAGTGTATAGAAGTATACGTTGTACATTTGTCACTGTTTTTGGTAAGAAAGTAACAACTTCGTTACCTTGTATTACGTGAAGGAACTAGCAACGTATATGCGTTACTTTTTCATCAAGTAACGTGTAACGGTATTTAATTACTTCTGGAGGGGAATGCGTACAACGCAAGTTCCCGACCTGTAATTTGCACGATAAAAAACTGCTATTTAGACTATGAATAAAAAAAAAAGTGCACAAGGTATGTCCATAGTCACCGCTAAATGAACGCCCTAAAAAGCAAGTAATGATGAACGACGGCAAAGATTGAAAGCGGTTACGTATACTGCCTCATAATAACGAGAAATTCAGAGTAACGAGAAAATAACGCGTTACTTTAAAGCTGAAATAACGCGTTCATTTTAAGTAACAGTGACTAATAACGTACTTAATTATTCGTTTTTTTTTTTTTCTTTTGTAACGAGTAAGGGTTAGTTTATTTCAGTAACATGTCTGCTTTCCTGTCGGGGGCTTGGGTAGCGCGTGGTGCCCGCCCAGCACATGGCCTGCATTGACGTCACATGAGCGGTCGTTGCAGTGGCCTTGCTGATAAGCGTGTCTGCCTTTTACATCGGACATTTCGCACCACAAAAACTTGTTTTCTCGGCAAGGGAAGCAGGAAAGACCACCAGCATGGTGAAAACGACGTCACGCGCCAGCCATGTCTAGTCGGCTCCAAGGCCACCGCTGATTTGGGAGATACAGCCTGGATTGCGAGCAAACCGTGAAGATAGCAGTAGGAGCGGGTAGGTCACTCCAAATGGCCCCCAACTCTTAAATCTAATAATAGCCGCCGGAATGTTTCTAATAAGGGCCGGCCCTTTGACATAGGGCCATGTTTTCGAATGCCTGAATGACGCCACATATATATTACCACGATCGTCATTGACACTCTTTGTATCTTCTGGACCTGAAGAGACATAAACTAAGCTTAAAAAGCGAAGGTCCATTAACATAACTTGTGCCGCCGTTGGGCTTTCATAACGGCTTACGTTCAGCCTTTCATTATATTTGGGAGTTTTCGTATCGCACCAATAAATACATAGTGTCCCAATCGGCTTTTTCAATATATTTTTCTAGGATCAATTTATGAGACTGTATTAGGTTAGAACAATCGGGTGTGAAGTTGGCAAACGCCGATAGACTTAGTTGTTTACATTTTTTTTTCACTACTATAGTATACTAATCGCATAGGGATCCTATTTTATGCGAGTCCATTGAAAACGATGACATAACTCATTTAACCCTTTCAAATTTTGAGTATTTTAATAAGGGTCTAGGTTGAAGGAAGGGATGGGGGGGAGGGGGAGGGGGAACCCTGAGTACCACGTGACTCGCGCCGAGCTACTCTGTCGGCCATGATGTCGGCAAAACACGCGGATCAAAGGATTGCGTTACTCTGGTCCGTATGAGCTATATAGTGCTCTAACATAGCCGAAGGCTGTTGCCGTTAGAGCACCATATATCTCATACGGCAACAGCCTTCGGCTATGTAATAGACTTTTTTCAAATGCGCGCGCCACCTAGCAGCCGCTGCGCCAATTGTCTGAGTCAGCCATTGCTTGGGCACGTACTCTGAGAGTGTATTGGACACGAGGGCTGCAGGTGAGCGTTCGGCGGGAACTCTGCTCAGCTCGTATTGGAAACGAGCACTGCGTCAGTGTTTCATGAGGATTTGGACCCAATCACGAGCTTCGCGCCCAATGGATGGATGGATAGATGGATACTAACGGCTGTACCCTTCATAACGGGTGGTAGCTTGCGCCACCTAGCCTAAAAATTAAGAGCCAAAAGTATGATTTCTTTATTCAATGCTCCCTAGATAATTTCCACCAGTCTTCCAAACTCCTCTTTGTTACTAAAATGTACTTATCCATTCTTCCATTCTCGTCTGCAAACCCCAGCGCTCCGGCCAAGAAATGGCGATCGCCAATGATGCTTGATCAACTTTAAAAAAAAAAAAAAGTATTGTTTTTCGATAAAATTAAAGGGGTGTTTTGTTTCCTTGTGTGTGTGTGTGTGTTTGTCTGTATGTCTATGTAGGTGTTTGTGTGTGTGCGAATTAATTAATCCTATTTTTCTGTGTTTAGGGACATGTTCATGCGGAATGGAACCCTGGCTGATGCTGCGGTGGCTACCCTCCTCTGCATGAGCATCTACCACCCCTATGCATCGGGCATCGGTGGCGGCTTTGTGGCCCTCTATTACCACGGGTGCGATGATCGTCCAGCCCAGTAAAAGGGGAAGGTCACACATTTAGTATCGGGGAAAAAAAATGTTATCGAAGCAACAAAATACTTCTTTTTTTTTTTTTCTCTCCCGGTTTAGCGGTGAGGAAGATTGCTCAGACAAGTCTCTCACCTACAGGTTCTGATTTAAGAGCTTAGCAATTATTAGCTAGGAACGTTAACTTTTTTTGCCGTAAAAATAAAACAAAAAGACAATTATCATATTTCAATTAGGAGTGCGAATGTGAAATTTCAGCTCAAAACGAATTCAAATCGAATAGTATAAAATAGTGGGGAGAAAAGTGCATGTTGAATTGAATATCGAATACCAAAACTTTATTCTAAATATTTTCACAGAACGAAACAAAAATGCCGCATAGATGAGAAAAAAAGTTCCACGTGTTTTTTCTCCTGTGGGGCACGAGGAACGAATGAAAAACGACGTTCTTGACCACAAACTTGAGGTACAACTTACGGATGTGTCCACTCATCCACGCATGGATACGCAGCGTGACGATTGTGAATGAAACGTTTGGATCGGGCGACGTCTTGCGCGGAGCGACTGGTTTGCGGAAGAAACCTGTTCAATTATCACCGTTATATGTATTTCGATAATTCTTGTTATGGATATAACGGAGAATATTCGCAGAGCTGGCGGCAAGTGACGCGAGTTCTTTTTATTTAAAGTGCGACGTGCGTAGTTCGTTGATTATGTACATGATAAAGTCAGTTTAGCATCGCTAACGACGAAGGTGAACTTATCTTAACCTACACCATAGCCTCATAAAGCCTGGCAGTTCGACGACGGAGCCATAGAGTGCCCGGTCGCAGATTTAGAGCGCGAGGATCTGGTAGCACAGAGCATCAAAGAGACATTTCTCGTGGAACCTGGACGTCAGCGCACAGCTTTTGCAGCGACGAGGATCCAAAACACACTTGTTCGCTAGGGAGAAGTGTTTCGGCGTCTCGCCGCAGCGGGGTGCTAGTCACGTGGCTCTGGTCTCATTCGTTGTCTGCCGCTCCACCTTTTCCATTTCGGCGGGCGCTTCTCGTGGCGATCTGCCAGGCTTTGTCAGTATATATAGGAGGCTATGCCTAGACAGATCAATTTGAAATGGTCGACAGAAGCAGATCTAGAGAGGTGAAAATTACGAAGTAGGGGTTAGCTCGGTGTCCACCACGAAGATAACACGCCGTCTTGTCATCACCCTAAGAAGCTTAAAGACATTCTGATGTGGGTTATAGGTAGGGCAAGTAAAAGTTTATACATAAAACATAGCTGCGCTATTGCTGTCCTATCTGTGTTCTTGTTTGTATATTTCCTGGAGGACAGGAGCACCACGGACGCCAGCGTGCTGATTGCCACCGAGTCAGCACCTGGAGCTGCCTTACGAGAAAAGTTAACAAACAGCAAAGTACTTCGTTCCGGTAAATCATCGCCTGCTTTTGTTCTCAAAGCCAGTAATTTCATTACTCCGCTTTCCATAAAAAAAAAAAACACTAGCACGCCGCAAAAAAAAAAAAAGATGAATTTTTTGCCAGGCGATTTTTTATGGTGTAAAAATACGACCTGATCAATATATTGCTACAGCGCAACGTTTTTTGATTTTTTTTTTTAAGAAAGTAAAAAAAAAAACCGCAATTGTTCTGAACCGAAGCCGAAACTGAACTGGGGAGGAAGAAGAATTATAGAGGAGGAGAGAGGTGCCAAAAATCACGTGGCTGTGCAACTTTCTTTTTTTTTTTTTTTTCCTTCAATCAACGTGTGTGCATCCTTTTAAAAGCGAAAAAAAAAATGGGTTTCATTTTTTTTATATCAAGTACGTGCCTTTGATGACCACGAGTCACGACTTCGATTATATATTTGGTGGTTGCGGACAAGAGAGTGAGCGCAACTCAAAACCGGCCGGTTCTCGATCAACAGTTTTCGAACGGGAAAAAAAAAAAAAAAAAAAAAAAAACTAATTTTGAGTTGCACATTGTGTTCTAGGTAGTTAAACTCTCAAATGTCGTGTACAAAAAAAAAAACAAAAAAAAACTGACGAGCACAAATACTTTGTCAGTGTCCTTTTTTATGTCCGACCAGAGCCAACGCTCCGACGGAGGCAATCAAGCAGTGTAAAAAGTTCATCACCACGTTGCTCGTTTCATCGGTTTATTAAGCCGAGTGGGGGCGCCCTTTGGTGCAGGCTGGAAGTCTATAGGCGTCCCAGGAGAAATCTACGGGTACTCCGCGCTGCTTTCGAGGATTGGCAGCAACGTCCCGTGGTCCGAACTCTTCGCGGACGCCATTTCCAAGGGCGAGCATGGCATCGTCGTTGACAAGGCCTTCGGCAGAGCCATCGCTGAAAACCGGGATGCCATACTTGCGGAGGAAAGCCTCAAGTAAGCGGGAATTCGGCTCTAGAGAGGCGCTTTCATGCCCACAACGCCCAGAATTCTCAAGAGAAAAAACAACTTTGTTTTCGTGTGGATGTTTAGATCAGCAAGAAGGTATAAGGGCGCAGATGACGTCTTGTGTCTCCGCTTTTCGGTGGCGATTTCGGTGCGGTACGACTGCTCTGAAATTCCTTCGAATACTCGTCTTCACACCGGTTCAAGTAAACATCAATTACTGATTCAATGCACATTCAACTGGTCTCCGCGTCTTATGCAAAATAGGGGGGCCGGGGGAGGGGGGGGGGGGGGGGGGTTCAGCTAGTTTAGTCTGTTACTCGCCATTAAGGTGCTTGTTTTACGGTACTAATCCGAGCGTCACGTTTGCTAGTTTTAGGATTGGTTAACGGTATCGCAAGAAAGCTTTCACTCTGGGCCTTTGAGGGCATACGCTCTTGCCTTCTCGCTTTGTCCATTAGGAAGCTGCTGTGGAACCATCGCACCAGGGACCTCTACCAAGAGGGCGAGGTGCTCCGCAATCCGAAGTTGTCGTCGACGCTCAGGCTCCTAGCCAAGGGCAGTTACAGGGACTTCTACGACCGAGGGGGCACCGTCGCCGGCAAACTCATCAACGACCTTCACATCGGTGACGGCAAAGCAAACGTTGTGGGTGCGTTGCACGGCGTTGTGGCGCCTCATATCCCCGAGGAAAGAAAAGACGGATGTTTTTCACCTACGATATGTCTGCAGCCTTTTTCTTTTTTCTTTTTTTTTTCTTTTCTCGTGTACCAGTATTTAGTTTCTTCCCAGAGTTTGCATTAATTTTGTTTGAGGATGAGCTCAAAAGCGATAGCTTCATATGAGAACCGCCAAGTGAAAGAGTGCCACCGGAGCGAAGCTGTTGGTTTTATGTCATAGCGGGCGACCAATGGTGCTGCGCCGCGCTGATTTGCGTGTGTGGTGGTGCATTAAAACTCCCCTCTCTCCCCACTCCTCCGCTGCGTAGGAACAGGGGCTGCGTACTATGGTGAGAATTACGTACTAGAGCTATTTGACGGAATGTCTAAGTCTGGCGGTTTTTTCTGGTTCATGCACCGTTCTCGCTGATGTACCGCAAAAATTACGATCTTTCACTGGCTACTGCATGTTGTTAATCAAGCCTGTTAATTGGCGCGAAAGTCTCTGTTTTTAAGTGTCAATGTTCCTTTACACATTCGCAACAGAAAAGAAAGTCTAGAACGATTTGAAATTAAAGTTCTCTTGTTTTTCATATTAAAGGGGCACTGAAGTCCTTTATTGAAAAACGTCGTTTTTGAACTTATATTGTTTAAAATGTGTTAGTTCCCACAGATACCAAGTCCTATATTACAAAACCGCCTATTCATCTCAGGACAATAGAAAAACATGTGGACTACTTTCCCTCGCGGACTACATTGTGTGGACCAATGAAAGCCCTGCAATACGCGCAGATTCCGAATGATTTTATTATAACTCGTTTTGAAGAGAGTCTGATAGGTATACACATTCGGATAAGACTCCTCTTTCTCTCCGCGGGCGAGGCCATCGCTTGCAACTCGCCGACAGGCCTCCTTCGTCGACCACTTCACTCGGAAGAAAAGTCTTCCCAAAAAGGGCGTGTCGCGATCTTTGAACACGCTCTTAACGAGAAGATAAGCTACGCACGATTGTGATTTCGTGTTTGTTGGGATGCTTAAAGCCAGGGTGTCGAACCGGAACCGAACCGAACCGAAAACCGGAACAGAACCGTTATTTTTAGCCGAACCGGAACTGAACCGAACCGAAATCTTCGCCGCCATCTTGGAACTGAACCGGAACGGAACCGGAAAAAAATATAACGGTAACCGGTTCAAAACGGTTCACGGTAATTTTTTTGTTAGTATTACAAATTTATTATTTGGGAATAAAAACCTGGCACGTTAATTCCTCTAAGCATTGATCAAATCGTCATATACAGAATTCCAATGTATAATAAATCCTGGTTTTTTGCGGCGCTTTCTTATCGGCACTATGAATAGCCATGTGTCACATCGTCACGTGACGTCATAATGTCAAGACATGCTGTCAAGTAATTTCACATCACGTGACCCCGTGACGTCACGTGACTCACCGCGTAAAGTCGATTCAAATTGAGGACGTCGCTAGATCTATTAACGTTGTTGATACCGTGACGTCACATGACATCACAACTTCGCACTGAGAGTCCCATGACACCATGATGTACCCGATTGTCATGATCCCAAACCAAATGCTCTGGTTCATGACAACCAGTATCGCCAAACATTCGGGTAACGGCTCGTGTTCAACTCAAAGATTATGATGGGCCCGAGTCCCACTAGAGCTAGAAGCAGAAGCAAACGAAAGCGACAAGCCTCAGACACATGCAGCATGTTCGCGATGGTACCTTTATACGGCTTTGAGTTTTTCGGTGCTCGCGAAGTTAGCAGGAGTGTTTACAAGCCTGCAAATGGTACCATCGTGTGCATGATACTCGTGTTTAAGCATATTTCTTTATTCTACAAAGCCTGCCAAATCGCGAAATACTCTGGTTTAAGGCTAGCCGCTGTCGTTTGTTTCTGTTTGTCGCTTTAGTGGGGCTCGGGCACCATTATAGCCCAACTAAAACTATATCTGAAGATTAACCCATGCTTCGCTTTGCCAACCCTGCTTATGACTATGATAAACACTGACGCTGCATATATTAGGATCAGATCACGTGGCTGACAGTTATAATTGCGAGTTGAGGAGGGGAAAGCTGTTTCATTTCTTTCTTTCGACTGTCTCTCATTTCTCGGAGGAACAAACTAATGGATGCTTTTGCAAGTTATCAACGTCAGGGATTACAACTTGGCGGTATTTATTGAACTGAAGGTAAAAAAAATGCTGCACGGCCCATTTTACATGTATGCACACCATTGAGGCTCCCAAACATGTTTTCGTTGTTGCTGAACTGCTTTAGAAAGTTGTACCGAGAATAGAAGTGTTAAAGGGTCTACATGTGACGTATTAGTCCGACGTTACATGGAACTATTAGTGTGTACGTGAGGGATAGCTGAAAAGAAAGATCCTAGTGGTCTCACGGGGATAGCCAAACGTTGGCAGCCGCTCTAAGTCTCACAGGAGTGTCGTTCTCAAGTTCTCCAAGTTTCGACCGCCCTGTATTTTGTTTAACCTTCACAGTTTGGTGCAAAGTAAAAGCAAGGAAGAATTACTGTTAACGAGTGACACAAATATAATTGTCGAGTGAACACCACTCAATACGGAGCAGGCAATCCCTGAGGAATAAAAATTATCTTGAGGAGCAACTAAAAAAAAGGGAGTGGGGAGGGGGGTAGTTTTAAAGCATACTGTGTCGTAAAGATTCCTCTACCGCGCACTTTCGGCGCAGACTAGAAAGCGTGGCCTGGAAACGATAGTGACAGATGGGTAGTTGGTACAACTTTTATTTGTAAAAACACTCTTGCCAGAAAGAACGTTTTGCCGTGCCAGATACTCGCGCCGTGCCTAACGACGATGCACCAAAAAGAAAAATGTGTGCCTCTCAAATACATAGCTTGCACTGAGCGCGAAAAGTTTGCAGCGTGCATTTTGCCCCATCGGATTTGATATTCTCAGCAAGAACAACTCGCAATGACAACCAGTATCTAGTGCGATTACGTCACGTGCAAACCATGTTAAATACTTCAGCTTTCTGGTGAAGTGCGACGTTCGCAACACTAGCAGTAGACGTCCAAGGTGTAAAGTTGTGTAGTATTTATAGCAGTCTCGCGATGATATACGGCAGCCTAATGAAATGTTGCAGCACATGACTGATAAAGAACAGAGTCGAGAAGTAAGGTCCCAAAACAAGTGCACATAAAACCTAAGATAACATTAGTAGTATCTCGCGACGTTTCGAGCTGAGGCAAACTGATGCCCAAAAGTGACTTATATTAGGATTCTAAAAATCTTCATTTGCCCTGCGAGGAATCTATGTTTAATTAGGAATATCATTTTATGCATTTCTATGCATCTCTTTTTGCAGTAAAGCGTTGTGTAAGGGATTATTTAGAAAAGATTGCGTGTCATCTCCTTATTTCTGCACATTTCGTGTATTTGCCTTGCGATATATCATGTGACCACAGTGTTTTTTGGCATACCCTGCAACCCAGTATTTTACACTGCAAAACAGCTAACAAAAGCACGTTGCCGAAGTCTCAACAGCTGGCGTATTTTCGAGTATCGTCCTTCCGTGTCGGTCTCAGGCGGTTATGTGAACTTCATAAAGTCAAATTTATCGATGATAATACAAATATACTTAAAGGAGCTGTGCAACGATATTCAGTTGGAATGTTTTTCACTTTACACGAGCTTACTGGCACACCTGGGACTCAAGGATACTCACACGCAACGCCATTGGCCAAGAAACTCCTTTGTTGCGGTGTAATTTCAAGGACAAAAGCGATCATTTTCATTCAATCTCTCCTTTGCAAAATTTGATGACGTAACTCGGGGATCGCAGTACACCCAAGTGACGATATTTGAATGCGGTTCATAGATTGGACCCGAGCATTGCGTGGGCACTCGACTTGGGCTCGCGACAATTACTAGCTTGAGAAGCATTCGGGTTGTGACCCGTGTCCAATCGCTGCAACGACGACCACAGCCGAGCCATAACAATGTCTGGAACTCAGCGCGTGTCCTGCGCTTTGCCAACCCTAGCGCGTGGCTATGATCAACACTGGCGGCATATAATCGGCTCCAGATCACGTGGCCGCTTGTTCTGGCTGCGAGTTGAGGGGGTGAACGCTGCTCGTTTTTCTTTAATTTTTTTTCTGGGACTTCTATTGCGTGGGGTGAAAAACGAACGCGTGTTTCATAGGCCATTAACGTTATGGATCCGTTTTAAGCGGTATTTGCGCAAAGTACAAAAATTGTTGCATCGCTCCTTTAATTCCTGTCTGAAGATTTGGCAGCATAAATAGAAGATCCTCACCTGAAAGATATATATGTAAATGCACTTTTAAATTATCTGAAAGATGTTCTGCAAATCTTTTTCGGCGCTTTTATCCTCTATAGACACGTTATAGGTGATTTGGAAAAGCTTTAAATAATGTTGTTTTTTTTTATTTTGAAGCTAATTTAAATAACTATATGTGTTCCTCACACATATATAACTTCTCAAATATATAGAAGTTTATTATTGCGTTTTTTATGTGTTTTTATTATCGCCTTTTTTTACTGGAACGAATGATGGAGCTATGACGATTGCACACTTAAACTCTCAGAAAGTGTCCAATTAAGTAGCTTCCGAATTGAGTAGAGCATGAAATCCCACTTTGTTCTATTTGACAAAAATCATCAATTAGGGAGGGTGATGCTTATTTGCAAATTAAATTGACCGGCATTTTGTCAAGAGCAAACCTCAGAACCAGGCTATGCCAGTTTATCCAATATAGAAAATGTTCGCATGGGTAAGCACTGTTTTAGGTCAGATTCGATCTCAGTACGAAGGTGCTCATAGGTTAGAGTGAACAATTTCAGCCACTCCTTTTCGCATGATTCGTCGCCCGCATCATGGTGCTGAGAGCAAACAATGCTAGTTAGAAAAAACAAGCATTGCGATTGTCGCTTAGTGTTTTTATAAAATATAGAGTGGAAGGACTTGTCCCG